TTGAACTTTATTTTTACAAATCCTTATCTGATCCAGGTATACATATGACCTTATGCAAAATACTGAAAATCATATTTCTTCTTTTCTGTCTCTTTTCAGCGCCAGGTACCTCTATATGACTCACTGGACTACTTTGATCATACGCAAAACAAAGAAAGTGAATGAACATCTACAGCGGCTTGGTTTTCTCCTTGTTAATTATGTACATTTATTTTATTCCCTGTATATCAAACTTTTTTGTTTATGTATATATAAATACACTTTCTCAATCTGGTTCATCTTGTTATTGGAGTACACGCAGACAGCTTTCTTTATACGCACTAAAATGAATTGTCTACAGTTATTGTGCAACATAAGAGGTGAAGATTCAGATTTCAAAGTACAGCCTGCTCTTGAAAAGGACAATCAGTGGAAACACTGTTGTTCTGTGGTCACAACATAAGAGGCCGGTGCTAGGAAGTGGAAACAGCATCTGTGACGGTCGAAGTAGCATGTGGTTTAGACTACCGTTATCTCAGGTCATCGTGCAGCTGAGTCAGGGCAAACCATTGCGTGAATTGATGCAGTAAAATAATACATTAAAAAACTTAAACTGTCTTCGATGGTCTATGCATCAGCGAAATGCAGAAAAACGAAGTACGCTTCCGCCAGATGGTACCAGCTAATTTTTAAAACAGCAAAAACGAAGAGAGTGCGACTTAGAGACATTTTTGAAAATTCCTCTTACTCTTAACATATTTCATTGCATGTTATTTCTGTGACATTTCTTTTGGTGTCGCGCTGTGATATTCTTCTGATCTACAATACTGTATTGGGGCTCAAAAAAGTTTGGCAAACACCTATGAAGTAATTGAGCAACTGCCTTTCAGATGCGTGTGCAGCTTTATCTCCAACTTGCTTCCAACTTGACTCTTGTGTCTGTGACGCAAGAGTCTCTCAATAGACCGCCTACATGTTTCCTCTGTTTTTCCTATGACCGTGTTCTGCCTTGTGCATATCATGAGCTATAACTGAAAACACTTTATTCGTCTTACAGCAGTACAAAGAAACCCATGTAATTTTGCAGTAGTTACAGAAAACATTCTTTCAGCTTTTCAACATTCCACCGCTCCTGTAACCAAATACTTGTCTTTGATTATAAGCTCTGCTGCAGTGAGTAAACACTAAAACCCTGGCCCAGTTGGCGCCTTTCGGTCGTCTGCTAATTTCCAAAGACCTCGTTAAAGGTGACATGACATTAACCGTGACTTGGTTCTTGTGTACGCACAGATGACACATAGACTGCAGCACTGTGTTGTTACAGTTTGAAGCTGTGATACTCATCTTCTAACTGTAGACATTGTGTCCATTACATTCAAATCAAGTAACTAAGTCAATTAGTATGGGAGTCATTCTCTGTATCGTAGTGTATCAAAGATTCTCCAGAGCTCATCACAACATCCCAATCTGTCGTAGGTGAAAGAAAACTGATGTACGTTCAGTAGTTCCGAACACGGGGGGTGGGGGGGGTGCGCCCACCTTGGTGGACGTGGGGTTGTAGCAACTCCAATTAATTAAAAACGATGTTCTCACTTTTTTGGTAAGACCATCGGAAGGTCGGAGAGGCGGGTTGACAATTGTCATATTGTCAAAAAGTGACACTGCGTTAAAAATGACAGGGGGCACGCAAAGGCGCATCGCAACATCAAAGATTTTCTCAAATCTAAAGGCAGATCAATATATAAAAAGGTCACTCAGTCATGTTCCACTTTACAGGCCTGTGTTGTTTTTTCAAGACTCACGGGTACCTTCCAGAAAATAGATAGCAGGTGCGACACTTACTATCACAGAAGGTGCGGTGAAAGCAGCGTCCAAGAGTCAAATGAAAGTGATTCAACGGCATTTTAAATTAAACTGTTATCTGTGACACGATGTTTGCATTGGGTCTGAGTAAACATACTTCTGCAAATGCACTTGAAGCCGCAGCCCTTGTCCAACACTACTTGTTTGGCTTGTTTTTCCTGACCTTTGGCAGGCTTGACGAGTGTATAAAATGACGCTCTCTCACTACTCGCTCATCGACCGCTGCACTCAAAGCCATTCAAGACTTCGTCAAACAGCTCTCAAGCAGCAGCCATGACCCAGCTAGAGTCAGCGATGGGCCTTTTGATGAAAGTTTTCGATACATATGCAAGTGGTGAGGGGAAAAGAGACACTCTAACCAGAAGTGAGACTAAAGCTCTCCTGCAGAAGGAGCTTCCTACTCTAATGAAGGTGATGTATCTGTGTTATTTGGGTTGAAAGATTGGAATGAATCCCCTTTATTATCACTGTACCTATATATACATATATAGGGCTGTCCTGATATTAGCATAATTATGTAATATCTGTAAGAATCGTCCTCTATTTTTCCTCCGATATTGAAAACCCAAAAAACACAATGCCTGGGTTTTGCTAAATGATGCATGCTCTAAAAATACCTTTGGGGAAAAACAGTTGTATGTGAATGTGAAAGTCACCAGATGGCAGCAAAGGCAGCACTCTTAGTTGGGATCTTCTGATCCGCTTTCCACTAAGCCACAGGCCTGTGCCATTGCTCAAGGCCTAAGTCTAACACTCTATTTAAAGGCCAAAACCATAACTATTAGATTTGCCTCATGGAATATGTGCATAGTCCTCAAACTTACTTATGACGGCTGAATACAATTTGATTTAACTGAGCTCCAGTTAACGAGAACTGCGTTGTAGAAGTGTAGATATTTTTAAGCGTACAACACAAGTTCATCATTAATGGTACTGTTCGTACGAAGCACTAAAATATAAAAAATGTTGTAAATTTCTCAGAACTTCAGAATGTGTAATAACATTTTGCGTTATTGACTGAAATATTTCTTGTCTCGATTAAAGGCTGCGAAAAACCCAGAGGAGCTGGAGAAACTTCTGAACGGCTTAGACTTTAATGGAGACTCCGAGGTTGACTTCTCTGAATTTGTGACGATGATCTCTGTTTTGACCAGCGTCTTGTATGGCGGAACTCCTAAGAAGTGAGCTTGTGGAACGTGCCCGTGGGTGAAGCTGTTCTGCTGCAGGAAAACAAAACAGAACAGTCAAAAGTTAATGACTAAATAAAACGTTATCTTCCTAACTAATTTTTAATTAGTTAGTTTTATTAGTTTTAATTAAAAATTATTGTGTAATTACCATCTAAACTCTGGTAGGAGGGCGCGCAAAGGCATTGATATTTTGCTCCTACAGAATTTGGAGTGTGACGTTCCACCCTAATGCTGTACACACGTAACTTGCTGTTGCTCAGCAAATGTCTGTTATATTGGTATGAACATGACTTTGAACATTGAGGGTAACTTTTTTATATATATATGTGTGTGTATATATACTGTATATTTTATGTTTTAATATTTAATAACTAACTAGATAAAATATTGCATACCTGGTAGTTGAAATCGCTTTTATTTTATTTTTCTATGCGGTTAAAAAGCATCACTTTACACTGAATATCTGACATTTCACATTGGCCTCACACATTGAAAAAAATGACAAAATAAGTGCAACTGGAACTTTTATTGAAGTAGTAAAGTTAGTGAAGAGATGACAAATATGTGCTATAGGCTTGCTAACATAACTAAATATTTCATAACATTAGCTTCAATTAGCCTTTTCACATAATATATACATAGGTATCCAAATTATTTAAAGCAAATTATTTAAAAAGAATTTGAAAATGATTTATAAGGGTGGCAGCGTTGTCACCACAACCTAACTGGTCGCCAAAATGTCATCACGACAGACAGACAGGCAGACAGACAGACAGACAGACAGACAGACAGACAGGCAGACAGACAGGCCATCCGTGTAATTCCAGAAGGCTTGTGCTGCCATCTGGTGGCACAAAACTCAAGGACCATTTGTATTGCTGTATCTACGTCCTTTTCATTGAGTCTGTACCTTAACACCAGTACTGGGCCCTGAATCATTTCAAGCCTTCCAGGATCTCCTCAATCCCACTGACACGCCTTCCGTAGAGGAAGCAGAGGCTGAGGATTGACATCACACGTCACATTCTGCAACATCGCGTAGCGGTCGGGGACGGTATGTCCGAACTGGCAGACTGGGGTGGTGGTCCCTCTTTGTAAAAAGGGGGACCAGAGGGTGGACTGGGGGATCTCACTTCTCAGCCTCCCCGGGGAAGGTCACGACCCGGCCTTGGATAAGCGGAAGACGATAGATGGATGGATAGATGGATGGGTGCACTTCGTAAATAACAATGTGATAAAATTCTAAATTGAGCATGTGCCAATACAAAATAATATACAATAACAGTCATAATAATGATAATAATAACAGTAGTAGTTGCTGTAGTATTAATATAATAATAATAGTCTTTCATAAAACCCCAAAAAAGTTAGTCTAATACAGTACTTCTCAACCAGGGGGGCATGTTGAGGTGAGGGGCTTCCAATGAAATATGGCACGCTGGACATAAGTGTACCACTGCTGTAATCCAGTCACTAGGTGGCAGCAACTCATACAGTGGTTTGTACAGATAAAAATATACGTTATCAGGTTCTCAAGAGGATTTCAATTTGCCGGGGTGTGGGTGTGCATGGGGGTGTGAAAACATTTCTGACAGAAAATAATGGAGAACCACTGGTCTAATGTTGTGTCCGTATACGTTCCACGTGCCATCATCTGAATAAGCCTATCATAGAAGAGCTTTATATGGAGTTATGAGGTACATACATATATTTTGCTAACAATTAAATACAACTATTGGACCCCTTATTAGTCCCAAAGTACCACAGATAGGACACAAGAAATGTTTTAAATTAAAAAAAAAAAAATTTAAATTGTAAAAGTAAAAGTTTGATATTTAGATTTAAATCCAATGGCAGCGTTTGGGATATTAGACGTTTGTGGTGTGTCATAATACCTACGATGTACTTGTCCTGTTGTTCTGTTTAAAGGTTGTGAAGGAAGGAGATGTGTTTACTGTGCAAGAGAACATTGTGAAATTGTTGGTCAATACTGTCAATAATCCTGCCTACTCCACCTGAATGACTCAACAGACGTGTCATGTGACTCGCAGACGTTTGCCTAGAGGTAACCCTATCTACGACCCTGATTTGCTTTCTGTAATTACAACATGTTGAAATACTCAAACCAGGCAATACCTCTTTGAAAATAGCAACCGGGAAATGAATCTGTCCACATCTCAGCCATTGCACATCGAGTCCATGCGAGATGGAATGAATATGAGACACGTATGCGCTTGTCTTTGGGGTGTCGTCTTTATCAGAAGCTCTCGTCATAAGCTTCAGTAATTACAGTTACTTTCAGCAAGGATCGATTGGCAAAACTTGTTTAAAGTGAAGTCGAAAGGTGGTTAAAGGAAAACAAATGATTACATAATACACTGGTTCCCAAATTGGAGTTCCTAGCCGGGCCATAGAGCAATTTGCTGGGGAGGGCGCAGTTCTTCTTCTTTTTCTTTCGGCTTTGTCCATTTTTTTTCAGGGGTTGCCACAGTGAATCATTGATTATCTGCATGTCCTCCCTCACTGCATCCATAGGGCGCAGTTATTTTCAGTTACCCTCTTTGTTCATTGACAATGGTAGTTACATTGGAATTAAACGTTTAATGTTCTTAAGGTTTTTGAACATCACTGTTGGGACAGTGTTAGCGTTGGGGGAGTGTGGCTCAAGTTTGGCGCTGCAGACCAGACATTGTGGGAATTAATGCTAATAATAAACATGTTAACAACATGTTGTATATACTGTGTGGTAATATTTCAGTAAAAGATGTGGCCACTTGAGTACAAGAAATATGAAAAGAATGCAGATTTCTTTGGTCCTTTTTTTTTTTAGCTCATCCTTACAACATAACAACTTAACCTTGTTCAGTTACATCTTAAAAAAGTCTCAAACCTACAGAAACAGAATCGACACTTAATATTAACTATTACAAATTCATTAGCCAAACAATGTTGTGTTTGTAAAGTGTGTTGCAACAGCCAACATACTGCAAACTGTAGCATCCTGCTAATATTTGACTGAGTATTCCGCTTGATATGGTCAAGTTTCCGTATTTTTTGAGCCATTGCGTATAATTAAAATTAAAAAAAATCCCATCATGCACCACCACACCAAATTTTCCCAAAAAGTACATTTAATGAAATATATTCTTCAAATTCCATTTTACTTACAATGTGCTAGCTCATTATGGAGCCTGGTCCTGTTTAGTCGAACATAATACTGTTATAGTCTTGGGAATTGAAGAAAGGCACGCAGAAAAATCTCCTTCAAATGTCTCTTTAAAATTTTTTATAGCTATCTGCTCCAACTTAGTGAAAGAGCCGGTCACGGCTGACCGATGACTTCCATCTGACGATCTCTCGTGGAACACTGATGTGCCCTGGGACAGTGGTTGAATATTACTAGCTTATGTGGTAACGACATGAGACCTCATGGGATTCAATTTGTGTTTTGTCTGGGAGGTGAGTCAGAGGGCGGTGTTGATTGCAAATTAGGGTGAAAATTGCAAAACAGTGGCCAGACACGCACCCAACGCTTTACCAAAGGCTATATAAAGACTTCTCCACCCTTTCGCTGACATCTATTGCCCTTTAAACGGCTAGCATCCTCTTGTTTGTCAAAGAGCTTTACAGCAGCAGCAGTCATGAGCCTCTCGACAGCTATGGCCTCGCTGATGGCCACCTTTGACAGGTACGCAGCTGTCGAAGGAAAAAAAGACACCCTGACCAAACTTGAGCTGAAGAACCTGGTGGAAAACGAGATGCCCTGTCTCATTCAGGTAGAGTAAAACGCCGTAATATTACTTCTGTACATTTACTTTCACAAATTACTTTATACATATTCTGGCACACGTAAATAATAATTTTTAAAATGTGAATTAATTAAAATACCAAATTGACTGCATCTGTTGTAGAAATCTTGTAAATCCTTAATTTTTAATATTTTAATATATTTACAAATGTGATGGCATATATCCTCAACACATGTTCTGACGTGCTAATGAATTGTTCTTGGTGAAATATTGCGGATGTATTGTGCTGTTGTATTGTTGTTTTGTACTTTTGTTTTATGGGTGCTTTGGCCCAGAGGCAATGTCTCCGTCAATAGTGTGGAACCCCCAGGGTTTGAATCCCAGTTAGGGCGGTTGGTACCTTCCAGTGGACTCACCACCTGCAGGAAGGTTCAGGGGGGTTGGTACGGTGCAGTGGGATTTGGGTGGTGGTCATGGAGACTGCTGCCCCATGACCCGTTAACAGATAAATGGAAGGATGCTTTTGTTTTTACCCTCATGATATCCTCCTAACTGCCTACAAGACTGACAGTCTACAATAAGACTTCTTTAAAAAACAATCTTAGTCTATTTTTCTACTGAGACTTTGTTACATTTAGTGTTATGTGGTAGAAATCTGCTGCATTTTTAATGGTGGCTTCACGTCTGTGCAGAAAGCAAAGAACAGTGATGGCCTGGAGAAGCTGATGAAGGACCTGGACCGCAACAAAGACTCTGAAGTCACCATCGAAGAATTCCTCACGTTCGTCTGCTCTCTGACCTGTGTATGTTACAAATATAAATGAGTTAGCTGCACTTGTGGGTGGAATCCAAAGGCACAATGCCATCATTTTAGTTGCTGAATAAAAAGAGTCTGTAACTCTCAATATTTGTCAGCTTGGTTTGCGCCCTGCCTTCCAACCTACGTATAGCTAACAACCAACCTCCCTACTTATCTACCTACCTACCAACCTACCTAAATATCTGCATGACCTGCCTACATACCTTCCTACCTAGCTGTCTACCTCCTTTCCTCCCAACCTATCTACCTACCTACCTGACATCCAACAAACCAACCTACCTACTTGTCTACTTAACAACCAACCTACCTACTCACCTACCTACTCACCTTCCTACAAATCTACCCACCTACCTACCTACCTACCTACTTAACAACCAACAAACCAACCTACCTACTTACCTACCTACCTACGTATCTACTTAACAACCAACCTACCTACTTACTATTTACCTAACAACGAACCTAACTACATACCTACCTACCTACCTATCTATTTGCGTACTTATCTAACTACCAACCAACCTACCTAATTACCTACCTAACAACCGACCTACCTAGTCACCTACCTAACAAGCAACCTACTGATTTACCTAATACCCACCTACCACCCAAACTACCCACTTATCTGCCTAACAACCAACCAAGCTACCTGCCTACGCATGTACCTTCCAACCTTCTCACAAACCTACCTCTCTACCAATCTACATGCCTACCTACCTACGTCCCTTCCTACCTACCTACTGTTCAACTTGACTTTAAACCATTTAAATGGCATGAACAAAACAACCTACTTATCTAACTACCAACCAACCTATCTAATTACCATGACTAGCGCATGTTAATCATTAACCTCATATTACTTGTGTAACTTTAGAAGGTTTTTGCTGCCATCTAGCGGCTCTAACGAGGTTCTGATTTGTAAAATTCTTCAAATTCCTCATTGGTACTTCTCCATGAAAGGTTTTTTAAAGATTTCGGTAAAAACAGTTTGAATGGATAAATAAGTGAGTGCATGAGCGGATGAATGAATGGATTTTATTCAATTTGTTTATCACAAGACCTCATGTAAACTCTTTGACATAGTACTAACGAAAAAAGTAATCTTCAAAAAAAATAAAATATAAGAGCATAACAATGCAAAACTGTTAGATATATCAGTAAAATAAACAAATATATTTTTATTTTCCATACTGTATGACTCCAGTGGAAAATTTAAAATAATCCATTTCTCACCTTTAAGGTTGGAGGGCTGTAATGTGGTTGACACACAGCACACACAGCAGACACACACTCAGCTCGGCCCACGTGAGACGGCAGAGTGACTTATGAATACCTCCTTCTGTTTTAAGGCACACATCTCCGGTCATATGAGTTTCCACCGTGTCCAGTTCATCGTGAGGCCTGACACTTAAGGAAGCAGAAACGCCACAAACACACTGCTGATCTTTGTCTCTGAACTTTGACCCAGTTTGTTTCTGCGCTACCGTCGCCATCATTGAGGCCTTTGCATATTTTTACTGGGGGAACCTTGCAGGTATGCCACCACTTGCGGGCTACGTGACACGTGATGAATTCACTCGTGGGTTTTCTGAAAAGTTGATTATGACTTGATGCTAGAGAGCGATGAAAATGAAATGTTCTTCTTATAGTAAAGTAAAAGATGAATGATGATCAGGATATAAACATGGATATACTCTATATATATATATATAGCTGTGTGAGGGGCTCATTAATTTTCATAAGTTATATAAAATCACATCTGTTTTCCATTAGTCAGGCCTGATATATGTTCTTATTTGATTAATCACTGGGTGATTGTGCAATTATCATGATTATTCCCGATTCATTGTAGTTAAAATGAATCATTGGTGTTCGTGATTCGTCACTATCATTCATTAATAAGAATGTTGTGTCATTGTGACATTAGAGCAGGTAGACGTATGTGTTTCACACCTGTCTTTAATGGCATCTTTTTCAATGGATGTACTTATTAATATGGATAACTTAAACTATGATAACTAAAGATTTTATCTGACTAGATTTTAGTCATGAGATTTTGTCTATCAGTTAAAATCCTTAGAATTGTATTCTGATTAATTTTTGGATAACTTTACTTCTAAATGACTTTGGTCCAAAATGGGGTGGACCATGACTCAGCCTTTCAGACAACAGCTAAGGTACTGGACACGTGATTCTTCTTTGGTTTGAAACCTGTCTTAGCAAGACCTGCTGATTGGATGTTTGTACGCCGGCATAAAAACCGGTCACCACTGCTAATGAGACGCACCGCAGAGTTCCTCCCATTCCACGCATTCTTTTGACGAGTCACCGAGGCCATTTCTGTAAAAACAGGAAGCTGCATCGCTCACTGCTGATTTACGAACCCAGCGGAGCGACGTCGCCTGCGTCACCACAAATCAAATAACAGCAGTGTGATGTGTGAGTCAGTGATACAGTGTGGTTTGCTGTGTTGTCTTTATCAGCCTGACCTCTTGGCTGGGGAGAGCCTACTGAGCTGATAATGACTGCTCACTTGTACTAATCTGTCACCTTTGACCTACTTGGACCAGCAGTTCTTTGTTTAGTTGATGGACTGTGACTTCATTATATAACCAGAGTCGATCCATCCGTATGGTTAAATATTAAAAATGGGTCACTGGGGGTCAAAAATGAGTTTTATCTGAGTTAACAATATGTTGTATTTTAAATATGTAAATTTACCCAGAACTGTAAACACAGTTCTTGTTGTAAAAATACCATTAAAAATCAAGTAAGTAACCTTTTGTGAGGCTCTGAAATTAGCAGGTTAGCAGCTAATAAGTTGAGGATGTAACAGGAGCATCCACCCAGGGCTTGGTTTAAGAAAGCAAGGATTAGTTTTCACTCGTCAATTCATGCCAAAAATTGTGAACGAAATGTCTATTAAATCAAAAACAAACAACATATTTTCACACTGCCAGGTATTAAAACTTAGAGCTTAATCTACGGGTGACAATACTGTGCACTGATTAAAGGAAAATGTCTGTTCTCTGACGTTTCCACTAAGTTGCACAAGACTGCTATGAAAACTAAAAAAAGAGACTCAGAAGTGTTAAAGAAGATCTTTGTGTGTGTCTTTCTTCTATTCCTGCGACTATACCAGGGCTGTGTTCTTATAAACAGGCCCTGGTGTCAGACTGAATAAAATAAATTAAATCAAACATATATTTCTTTACATTTTTATTTACTCGTGCATGCATAGATTATTCTGATGTAAACAAAACGTCACTGAGGCTTGAAAATGTTTGGGAAATATCGGTTGTTGGAATTTCGAGTCGAACATATCACTGCACTACTGCATGTACTTGAATACCCATCTGTACTACAGACTGAAGACCATGTCAGGCAAATTTTAAACCAACACGTCCTTTTTTTTGGTTAAACACAACATATGTGCAGAAAAGCAATTTCTGACGTATTCAACATTGAAAAAAAAAAGTCCACAAAAAATAGGTGTAATACAAGAGAAAAACAAACATGTCACGACTTGAGTTTGCTAATATGAAATAAATAAATAAATAAATAACCGACATATTTTTTTTTACTTTTGACTGAAATCAAAGTCAAAAAACAAGTTTATGGTTTTGTGTCATTGTAACAGATGAGACTTCAAAGTGCTTTGTATACCTGTTGAACAACTGACTGTTTGCTTTTTTGTCTTTTATCACTGGCAGACAGCAGGCAGGTTAACAGAAGCCGCCGAGGCCAAAACTCTTTGCACTCGGAGCAGATCATATCTATGTGCTGTTAACAGGTCGTCTGTCTTTCGGACTCGCTCCCGACGCATTACGTAATGCACGCTTCCCTGCACTTTTACAGCCTGTGATGTCATTGGAGGCCGTGAGGTTTGCGTGCTGTCCTGAACAAACCTGGTCTCTGTGTTATTCCCCTCCCATAAACACACCAGCTCAAACACACCCTCACGGAAAAAAACACATGACAAGAAAACCTTGTCCTCCTTGGCCATCGGTGGCCCCTACAGAGTACGACGACGCAGACGCCTTCGCACATCAGCTATCTGGTGATCAAAGTGCTGTCAGACAGAGCATATCTGAGTTCAAGAAAAAAAAAATCTCTCCTGATGTCATTGTCTGGAATACACCACCCCCTAAGGACAGGAGGTTTTGTTAACTGCATGAATGGGTCAGTTGTTGATTGTAATGCAATCATTACAGAATCGCTGATTAAACAACAGGCTTCCCCATAACAATAGGAAGCGATAGCTCATCTGTAACCATCAGGCTCATTGATCTATGTTCTCTGTCTCAGTGATTTTATAACCAGGCCATAACCAGATGGAAAAAACTAAAACAATGTAATTAAGTAAAAGTATCTTTACTATGCTTAAATTCTACTAAAATAGTGGGAAGTCTAAAATGTCTGTTAAGTACTAATACTTAATTAGAGTAACTTGAGTAAATGTAATTTGTTACATTCCACCTTCCCCCAGAATTTGACCTCCTGGGGCACATACGTCAAAATAACATGAACCTTTACATCCACTCATTAATTTGATTTTCTTCTCCAACTCTCTTCTTTTTCTGTGGCTTGATTCTTTCCAAGGTCATGAAGTTAGTTGCTTCCAATACCGGCTATCATTGGGCAAGGCTGGGTCCCTGACTAGTTGGTTCCAATCATTGGGCAAGGCTGGGTGATCCCTGACAGTTGGCTGGTCCATCACAGTCAAACAATCACTCAAGCACACACACCTGTAAGTTATTTAGAATCAGTAGTTACCACTGTGGATCTATAATGTTATCTCTCTCCTCAGTGTGGCTCTCATCATAATATAACATTTTTAATCATGGAAGATCATTTCACCACTGTAAAGATGAAGAAAACTCTGACTTGTGGTGGGAAAACTTCCTAATGGATTCTACTGAAATTCTCGATGCAGCCTGCTTTGGGTCAACAGTGGCGCTCACAGCACTGCATGAAACGGAGGTCAATTAGGATAAGTCTAAAAGGATCTATGTAGACAGTGAAACCATTAGGTCAATGAAATGCATGTGGTACTTTGTGGTTATTCCTGATTGTAGTTCCCCTAATGCTCACAGCTCAACATATTTTTCCAGCAAGGGAAAATATCACTGGCGCTTTCCAAAAAATAGAGTTTTCTAGATGAACACAACTCAACAGAATCCCATCGATGAAAGTTATAAACTCTAAGGCACGTGTCCAACTCAAGGCTTGGGGGCCGAATGCGGCCCACCAAGTCATTTTGTATGGCCCGCAGGAGCTTAAAAATAATTTAATAAAGTCCATGCAGCAGAGTTATCAAGGGTTTGCTGTATGTCAAATAAAAAAGAATGTTGAGGGGGAAAAAAATTACATTTTAAATCTAACTAAGGCATTCATAGAGCTTCTGATGTTCATACTACTTAGATTTGAGCTCAATTACTGGTACTGGGGACTTCTTTAGCGTTTGGGGCCATGACAGTGTTTGAAAATGCTTGTGATTACCATATAAAAATTAAGTCATCAGTGTTAGAAAAAAGGAGTAAATGTTCAATAATCTTATTAGAACTTTCTAGATCTGAATGTTCGGTTTAAAGCAAAAGTCGTGTGAGGAAAAATTCAAGTTGTATGGCATTTGTAATTATATTTTGGGCATTCTTGGAAGCGAAGGAGAACATGATTAGTAATAAAACTGCAAAAATTAATTCTGATTAACGTCTAGTCAATAATGAAGTTAGCATTGACGCTGAACTCGATTCAAAGTCTTCCTCAACCAGAGTTATGATTGCGCCCCTCGTCTGATTTAGCCCTTGATTAAATGTGGAATTTGCAGCGCCGGTGCCTCTGCAAGACCTGACATGACCATAATTATAAATTAGAGCAGTATGTGGAGGAGGTTGACAAACTGGGAGTACTGCAGGTGAAAAAATTACACAACGTTGGGGTTGTGTTTTTGGATGGCCTGAGGGGCAAGTTGCTGGGAACACAACATCACGTAAGCACAAAGTTTAAAGAGTGCGTGTGAGTCCTGGCAGGTTGCTATAAACAACACCGGAGATGGAAAAAGGAACCAAAGTGACACTACTTTGTTTAAGATTCTGAACTTTTCGTTGAGTGGATTGGAAGAATTTTCTTTTGTCATTTGTCCTCTCCTCTGAGAAAATGATTTACATTATAAGCATTCTCTGAAAGAACTCAGACATGTTTGTTTCACACATGGCACCGGCGCCTGCTGTGACTAATCTCCACACGTCGGCCCGTGTGACCTGGAAGATTATGAAAATAAATTCCGTGAATTGTTTTCATATTTTAGCTAAGTGTCCAACAGACTATGAACACAACACAAGAAGTGCAGGTAAAATTAGGTCTCTCTTGTATGTACAGGTAAAAGGCACGTAATAATAACTTTGTCCAACAGACTATGAACACAACACAAGACAAGGCACGTAATAATAACTTTTGGGCCCAGTTCATCATCACATACACACTGTACACTGGTCCCAGTTCATTCTGCACTTCCAAAACCAGCCTACTTGATGCAGACAGATGGTTTTTCTGTGGTGCTGTATCTGTTTCACAAAAGTTGTTCACTCCTTGCAAATTTCTTCTTTTCAGCATAAGCTTAAAACCAAAGCTATTGGCAGAGGTAGTCCAAGATTTTGCTGAGTTATTCCACTTTGCAAGGAAAGGGTAATGCCAGAATCAACCTGTTAACTTGAGATGATTAATTCCTTCAATTAATCAGATTGTTTACCAAAAAAAAAAAATCCTGCCATCCATCCACTTGTCTTTGCTCATTGAGGCTAATTGCGACAAGAGAGAGAAGGCCTAGCTTAGTGGTTCTCAATTATTGTCTGTCATGCCCCCCCGACCCAAACCCCTGCGAATTGAATTACTATTGAGAACCTGATAACATGTACATTTTTATCTGTACAAACCACTGTATGAGTTGCTGCCACCTAGTGACTGGAGGCTGGAGTGGTACACTTATGTCCAGCGTGCCATATTCCATTGGAAGTCCCCCTGGCACCTCACAGCGCCCCCTAACTACTGGCCATAACTCAAAGAGTATAGGTAGAAAAAAGACCAATCGATACAAGTGTTGTCATTTGCACACACTGCAGCGTAGTAATTGGGTTTCACCACAGCACCTCCAGTTAGAAATACCATCTCAGCACCGAGGAGGAGTTTGTGGAGGCTTCTACTCCAGGTGAGGTGCCCAGCATGTGTTAGACCGACTTCATCGAGGTTGACTGCAGACCGATGAATATTGTTGAGGACCACGAGTCTTGAAAGCAACTCTCAATACATTCTAAAGTCCAACATCCCACAGACCTACAGTGTGACACTTTGAAGCCAAAAAAAAAAAAACAAGACAATTAAGGAAGGGGGACAATTTTTGTTGTCGTTTTGCATATTGTTTCTTGATATATTTCCATTTTAATTATTTCATCATATTTAGCCACAAAACAAAACATATACATTTCTTCCTCTTTTCCTTTCAGCTTGTCTTTCTGTTCCAGCCATATACAATAAAATACCATATTTAGGAATGTCGACTCATTCAATTTAATCTGGATTAATCCTGATAAATCCACAACAAATCAGGTAATTTGATTAGACATTTTTATCACTGGACAGCCACAGTTTTTGATTTTGAACTTCAAATTATAATGTTCACCTTTTTGCCAATTATCATTTAAGAACATTGATGTGTAATTTGTTTGTCCTAATTGTCATTCTTGGTTTCTAAAAAAAAATGTGGATGACAAATGGGCATATTATTTCTCATGGGAAAGATGTACATTCGTTTGTGAGGTAATGTCTGGCTTCTGTCTTGCTATGACAATTTATAGAAGAAGAAAACTCCTGCCTTGACTGACAGCCTTACACAACACATATCATCATCTGAGTCAGGAGCAGTGACTAATAGAGGATTTGACTTTAAAAAACCTCACCAGTAAGGCAGCAGTTTCACCTCAGACGGCTCCACGAACTCACTCCCAAGGTGGCGTGCGGCATTAAAGCTTCAGCGGAAGCACTTTGTTTTCCTTGCCTTCAACAGAAAACCTGACAGGGCCTCTTACCCCCTCCACACACCTTCCCTCCTCCCCACTCCTGGCCGTCTCACTCTTTTCCTCTCTCCAGAAGAGGATTATGGGCCACCTTTTAACTGTACCATCTGCTGCGAATTGACCTTTGTTTAACACCCGCAAGTGAAAACGCTGTGAGAGATCAAGGATGGACTGTTAAGCCGTTGCTGTTACCGTGCTTCAGGCTGACATTCAACCAGATCAGATGTTATCAGACAAGACAGAACAGAAACATCTGAGAAAACTAAACCGATGCGTATCATATAGAGTATCGTAAGTCATTATTGAGAAACCTACTTGTGATTATTTTGTATATATTTGTGGTGAAAAGCAATATCCTGATCATTCACCTTCATCTGTTGTTCAAACAATCAATATATCAATCAATGGCCTTTGGCTGCTGGGATCGAGATGGAGATCAAAGGGTCTCATAAGTGGCCTCAAGGGATTATGGGGGAGTGGAGCGATATTGTAGATAACGGGTTTATAATATGTCAGTTGCACCAGCACATTTTAGTGCGTTTTCACTACTACGGTGAATACCCGGTGAGTGAGGTGAGTGCAGAGTGAGCATATGCATGAGTGATGCACAGACCCAGTACCCTCTGGCTGTGTCCTCATTTGCTCCCTTTCGTTCTAAACACACCGCACATGCAGTACTGCGCCTGTCCAGTGTCTGATACAATGTGTACTTGGATCCCAATGAATGCAGAAATACTGCAACAGTCAACTATAGTTTAACAGGCACACCAGAATAAAAGGGGTCTCTGTGTTTTTCCAGCATTAATAAGCAGGCTAGTTGAGCATATGTGTGTGTGTGTGAGTGTGTGTATGTGAGTGTTTTTTCAGGGGCGTATTGGAGTACAAACAGCTGGTCAATAGGCTACAACTCCGCCCACCCCAGGGATCACAACCCTAAGGTCAAAGGGCAAATGAAGTGTGCCGTACTCTATGGATCCATAAAAGAGGGCAGGTGGTCATTGTGAAGAATAAGCCCCGCTCCCTGCAGTGTACGATCTTTATAAACAGTTAGTGGAAATGAGAATGTTCCAGGCGTCATGTTTCAATGTATCGCTGTAGACTTTTTGCTCTTGAGAAGCGGTGGTGCTATAAATAGGTCAGTTTGTAATTGTGACACTGCTGTTGGAGTAAAAGGAGCTGTTCATAGTTACACAAAGGCAAGAGATAATCTGCCTGGTTTCATTCATTTGTTCATTCATTCAAACAGTTCAGTAGAAAAATATTTTTAAAACCCCCCAAAAAACAAACAAAACATTTCCGTATAATTCTAGTTTCTGCAGTATCAGTTTTTGTGTTACATATCTCTGTATTGAACAGAGCTTTACATTTATATCTCTGTGTTGTGTAAATTATGTGGTTTATATCTTTTGTAAAATAATAAAGCTTCCGAAATAATGTTGTAATGTTAGAAAACCCTGTGTTAGTTTCAAATTGTCATAATTCTAAATAATAAAAACCAATCAAAACTTCTTCAATACAAACAACAAATATTTTAAGACTTACTTATTAAGTTACTTTTTTGTCAACTATAAAAACAGATGACAATATAAAGGTTCCAAATATGTTTTGAGGTCATATGTATAGCATTATTATATTATTATTAAATGTTTCACTATTTGTCTATGTTTGAGAGGTCTTATTGAGTTTTTATTCCAGGTCATCTGCGGGCCTCCGTAGGAACTAGTTGGGCTTCTGATGCAACACTACAGCGGATGAATCAGACCTATGCGAACAGGCTGGCAGGAGTTCGCCTCGTTGCCTGGATACGAACGCAGAGGGTGGCGCAAACGGTCGATCTTCTCCGAGTGAAACTGACCTCCGGAGTTCGCCATTTTGGCTACTGTCTGGCGGGACATCGCCTAACAACCGCGATTCAATTTGAGCCCGAATGTCTCCGGTTGGTCTGACGTTGTTGAAGAAGTAGCGAACGTGAAAACAGCGCCATTTCTGTCGGCGTCCATGATACGCGATGCTACCGCAGCGGATTCCAGAGCTTGAGGTCGGAACGGCAGCGGGCGAGAAGTAGCCGCTCCCCTTTTGCTGCCCCTGTCTACTTCAGACCACGGCAGGTAAGTGAGCCGGCAAACATAACGACAGCTTTAGCGTCATGTTGTAGTGGTTTTATTCCCTCCAGACCTATGTTCGACTGGGGCTTTGCTTTCGCTGTATGACGATATGGCGCACATTTTGAAGGGAAAACGTCTGACAGTCCTTTGGTGTTCTCACCGGGGCAGCTGCTCCTCCTCCCTCTCGGTCACAACAACAGCATTAGTTGACGTTTGTTTGACAGCGGGGCAGTCTTTCCATTATACTGTTTGTTATTTGGGGTAGTTTTGTCCTTTCACTGAAATATAATTTTAGATGTGGCCTAATGTTTTTGTGCGTATGGGAAATGTACGGCGTAGATGTAGCAACCCCAGTTCACCTGCCAAAGATACACCAAAGTATTGGCATTCTTAGCGGGGACTGTGTGTTAAGGCAACGCTCAATAAAATATGCCTCGTCACATTTGGGTATGGTTTATTAGCAACAAGGTAATAAAGTTTATATTATAAGTGACGAGGAACTCGGAGTCGCTGACTTGGCTAACTTAGCTCATTAGCTAAAGGTCGCTCATCTGACTAACCTTGTCGTCATATGATGCTGTAGCAAACTAAAAGTAATGCCATATTATAATGTCAGTGTTTGACGGTTATTCCTTTAACATAATTACGATTGGTCACGGTATTTACTGTATAGTGATAACATTTCCTTGGGATTAAAAACATTTATTGCTCTGCGGTGTTGCGTTTGTCAGTTGACCGTTGCGTTCGTCTCTGACCAACTGTGAAGGCGATAAACGTCAGTTAACTACGCAGTTACTCCATTATGGTGTTGTTCTCATTATGTGTATGTTTGTAGAGTGACATGAAGTTGTAATGTGTCGGCTCTGGCCAGCTAGCAGCCGGAGCTAATGCTCATATATGAAACAGCTCGGTTGCAGAAAGTCGTCAGCCATATTTCGTTATTATCTTTGATGCTAGGGGGGCTTTCCTCGGATGTTCTAGTGTCGTTATTGGACTGACACAATGCCATGGAAGTTAAATCGTGTTTAAACGTATACTTGTGTGAGGCAAAGCGTCGTATCTTGCTCGTCATTTTGACGTTTCTAACGGGCAGTCCATAATACGGCGTCGGAGACTGACGAGCGGCCCAGCCAATCAAATGGACCCAGACTCCATTTGCTCTTCGCGTCGTTTCCCCTAATCCATCGCAGCCATATAAAACACTTGCACCTGACAGAATGCCTTTCCCTCACAGCTGCACTTTACTGTACTGTCCGAGTTTGGATATCACGAAAAAACTAACGCAGGGCAAGTATAAAGTGCTGCAAAGGACATAAAGGGAACCAGCAGTAGCACATAGACATGCTTTCATTGAATGAATGAATGTATGAAAGATTCGATGAATGGTTGAATTCTTCTTATTGCTAATCAGCAGTAAAATAGCTTAGGTGCAAAGATACAAACTAGTCACATTGTACATTTTATTCCATCATAGTAAGTAATTATTTTCAATTCTATGGCAAAATAAGTTACATATTTACACAATATATTTATTTAAATGCAATTGATCATGTGTACATGCAGTATAAATATTCTTTGTGAAAGTATGCATTGAAATATTCCAGGAGAAGGATTTTGTTCCACAGAGGTGAAGTTGTTGGATCACAATGTTTTTACACTGGCAGTTCTATTTAATATCTTATATATTATATAAACATTTTGTTTGACTGAAACTCTAAACTATTAGCTAATTATTTGTTGATGCAATGTTCTTTTTTTTTATTTCAGGTTGTGCCGGTGAAGTGACACCCAGCTGAAAAATGGACCCCTTCAACTGATTTGCAAACACACACTGTGTTTTGCGCTGAGATCTGCAGCATAAGCCATGTCCGACGAATAAAAAAAACCTTTTTTTTTGCAATCAAGCAATAAAAAAAATCAAAAAATCTAAAAAATCCCCATGCCTCCCCACGCAGGGCCGCTTCAGTGCATCCTTCTGGAGTGACGGCCCCATCTTCCAGATAGGCCCTGCCTCATCCTCTCTACACACCCTTGTTCTCCAACCACCCAGAATTGCCCATCAAAATGTTGCTTAACCTGAGAATGGCCAACACCTGAGGTCCCATGCGTCCAGTGAGCACCGATTCAGACGGTCCGGCTCCTCCTGAAAACTTCTCCTGCCCCTACCCACTCGTAGGTTCCCTGTCTGCCTCAGAGATGTCCCTGCTCCAGTCGTTGGGTCCAGTGCAAAGCTGGTTAGGCCAGGAGCTTGAGAAATGCGGGATTGATGCTATGATCTACACCCGCTATGTTCTTAGTCTTCTCTTGCATGACAGTTATGACTACGACCTGCAGGACCAGGTTTGCATCTTATATACATTTTTCTAATTTGTCGTTAGAGTTATAAAATATTCTGTTGAACTTATTCACCTTATCTGTATTTAATGTCATTATTGACTTCGTTTTATATTTGGCACATGGATAGTACAACTTATCCATCATTCTTGATTATGTCCCATTGCTGATAATATAAACATCAAATAAACATTAATTAAACAAATTGACAAAAATGTTTTGCCAATTAATCTCATTCAAATTCTACTTATCTTTACATGCTTGTCTTCTGTGTGTGAATATCTTAATGAGAGCAGGATATTAGTTTTAGAGTAATGTTAACTTTGACACTTTCCTTGTAACTCAAGTTCACCTTACTGTAGGTTTGACAGATGTTCCTTGCACACTATGTCAATTTTGCCACTGAGATTTTCTTATTTTCTGTCTCAAAGGAAAATGACATCTTCTTGGGCTGGGAGAAGGGAACTGGGAAGAAATGGGGTAAGAGTAAGAAGAAAGGAGGGACTGACCTGAGTCTTGAGGAAATGAAGAAACAAGCCGCTGTGCAATGCCTGCGCTCCGCATCTGATGAAGTAAGCTTTGTTCTTGCTAAACAATGTGGGAATCTGTGTTCGAGGTGTGGGTTACTTGTGCTTTATTTGTCTGTGAAACTGATTGACCTGACTAATTTTTTTATTAAACTTGTAAAAGGAAAAAACAAACAAACAAGTGGAAACAAATAGTGGTTTCCTGAATCAATTCCATTTTGATTCACAATTTTCCGAGGAGTGGGTAATTTGTAGCTTGGTTCAAAAGGGTTTTTTTTTTTTTAAGTTGTTGGAAGCAAGGGGTTTCAATAATGCTATAAGGACATAGTCTTCTCTCTGTCAAGGAGCTTTATTTTGCTAACATACCTCTCAGACGGACACAGTTGTGAGATACACAGAAATCTTACCAAAGAAATTCACTCATAACGAAGTCGGCCTTATGGAATTAAAACATTGATAAGGTTTCAATGAATCAGTAATTACTTTTTTATTCTATGAATGATCTTGAACAATGTTTTTTTTTTAATTTTGTAATATATAATTTCTTGATTTCTTGAGTTTAATTTGAAACAATCTGTCTGTCCTTTTATACTGTTTCTTTCATTGATCTTAAATCTAGCAGGAAAATGACCTGACCAATCAATTAGTGCATACAGTCTCACGCGGTCTCTGGGTTAATATGTACAGTATGTGAAAGGCCTTTGAAAACTAAGTCAAGGATTTCTATTGTATAAGTAAAAAACGTTTGCAGAAGATGTATCTTTGTCTCGTCTCAAGGACTAAATTCAAGTTTCTTTACACTTTTGAAAAAATAGTTTGGAAAAAAAAGATAAAAGTAAAAACAACTCAGGAAGTAAATTGAAACCAATCAAGAAAATTAAACATATTTCGAGGGTTGCTTTGATTTAAAATTTTCAGCTTTGGATTGTTAATAAAGGAATAAATAGTTACAAAGGATTTTCTTCTTGTTCCTAAAAAACAGGACGTCCACTTCTTCAATCAACCCATTGTATTTATGTCCATCTAAATATATTTACTTTCTGTTTTCCTTGTATTTGGAGTTTCTGTTTTCTGCACTTGTAGCTTGTTACACTTTTTTCGGCTTCCCCTTTTGGTAAGATCATTCTTTGAGAAAGATTTCAAATCTTAATAAGTTATTTACCAAGTTGTATGAGAATACTTAATCTAGAGCAAGTTTTCTTAACTAAAACAAGTTTGTCTTATAATTTAGATTTATGAAGGAACTGGGCACTGGTCTTCGGTTTTTGCATGGTTTTACGTAATGTGTGATTTGTTTGCATACGGAGTTTATCAGTTCTCCAGTGCGAGAGCTGCTTTCTCTTGTTCACGAGGTCGCTGCTCCAGCTAAACTCTGCCTGCATGTGTTTCTTGATGGGGGAAAAATGACTGGATATTTGGTTACATTTCTCTCTGCAAGCAGCAGTAGTAGTACAGTAGGTGTGCTCGAGCTGAGAGTGACAGAGCTGGGGGAGGGTTTATTAAAAGGCAAGAGGAGTGGTGAGCTCTTCTCCTGGGACTGGACTATGCAGTCTATTTTTTAACCAGCCCGCTACGCAGGATTGCAGTAGTAAGCTGCATACTTCGTTGACTGCCAGCTGACCAGCATAAGAACAGTGATGCAAGGAGAAACACAGGGCAGGAGAGAACCTTGCTTTACCTCTTACGGAGTGGCATGGTAGGAAATGTTATTTTTCCATTACGATGAACAGAAAATCTGTCGGCTATGAAGTGACACAGGTCTTTATGGCAGCTTTTTGTAATTTGTGTGGCTATTTTTGTCAGCAGTGCCTGCATAGTTGTGGCTAGCCTGTCACTTGTGTATAGTATACGTAGCATACGTAGCAACATGAGTAAATGTTCATGGTTTTATGAAATAAAGCACTAATGGGGTGTGTTTTAAAGCATTTGTGCACTGTAGTCAGTGACAGTACTGTGTTAATGCTTATTCTCTCATCTATTGGTTTGACTTGTGTTAATACTATACCTATGGTGCAATATTGTTGTTGCCTTCACAAATTGCTGTTTTAACACTTTGCTATCGCTGTTTTTGTTGTCTACAGTCTAATGTTTTGTGATCGTTAGGACTTGTATTGGATTTTTGTAATTAGATAAGAATTCAGTAAAATTAAAAGCACACCGTTTTGGGGAAATTTAACAGATTTAACATTACATGTTAAATGAGATTCCTAATCCTTTGGGTGTCTTTCTTTTACTTTTCCAATATATTTGCAGATTTGTCTGACTCATGCAACTTAATTTAATCAAATACATACATCTTTGTGGTTGTAACAAACAGTACTTACATGGTCACAGTACATTAAAGTGTCTTACGCAAACTTTTGCCTTCTTCTGTGCAGAACTCTGGAATTGAGAGCCTGGTTGATGAGCTTTGCTCTAAACTTAAGGACATCCAAAACAAACAGAAAGGTTTGTTTAAGATTTTGACGATCACAATTACATAAATCATTGTCATTATAATTGTCATTTCAAAATGTCTTTACATGTCTTTTGCAGAAGAAAAACAGATTCAAAAGAAATCTGATGGCTCTCGGTCTCCTGAGCGAGCTGAGTCCCCCTTGTCAAAGGACCAGGTGGAAATGTGAGTTGCATTAGAATTTTTTTACAACTAAGTTGTTGCGTTTAAATAGTCGCAGTGCAATGTATTCTGAAAAGAAGTGTTATTCATTTTTATATTCTTCTGTGTTTTGCCCTTTTGTACCATGGATTGTTTTGTTGAAGTAATTATATTGGCGCCTGCAAAATAAACCCTTTTTATTTACCTTAATTCAATTGTGTTACAAATTTGATTAACTGAGGTATATTTTGCTCCAAAATAAAAATAATTCCCCCTGTCTCCTATGGTTGTAGGTATTATGAAGCCTTTCCTCTTTTGTCAGAGAAGCCAGTTTGTTTACAAGAGATTATGACGGTGTGGAACAAAGCTAAGGCCAGCGCATATTCAAGTTCATCATCCTCAGCGGCCCCACAGACCAGTACCGACACCTCTTCCCCAAAAGATTGCAACAGTGAAGGTGAGGCCACAAAGGAGCGGAATCTAGAGGCGTGCACTGTTGTCACCGAAAGAAGCCAGCAGCGACGGAGCAAGAAAGAGAAAGAAAATCGGTATCACGTTGGTGCAGCAGCTGAAGAGAAATCCAACCTCCACTCCAAGAGACAGACCAGACACAGATCTGAGGGCAAATACAGACCCAGGTCCTGGTCTTCAGGCTCTAGTGAGGCAGGCTCCAGCTCCAGTGGGAATCAGGGTGACACTAAGTCATCCAGAATAAAGGCAGTTAGAGTGAGGCACAAGTCAAGAGAGGCTGCAAAGCATAAGAGGACGCGCAACAGCTCACAGGTGAAGCTGCAGGTAAAGGTTATTGACAGAGAAGAGCGAAGAAACAATGGGGGGAGCAGTAGTAGCACCACGGGAGGTGTCACAAAACCGCAGCTTTATAAAAGGGGGAAAAGACCGCTGAAGGAGATTCGTAAAGATCATGGCTGGGTGGAGGGAAAGGAGTCTGGAGTTGAGGTCAGAAATAAACAGGAATATATGGAAGAGCCACTTTGGTACACTGAGCCCATCACAGAGTATTTTGTTCCTTTCAACAGCAGACAAAGCAAGTTGGAAACAAAATATCGCAACAAGATGGACTCTATGGAAAGCTACACCTTGTCGACAGACATGGAAAGGCTGCCAGAGAGAATCCAGGGAATCTGCATTGCGAACGAGAGCTACCAGAGAGCATACCTCGCAGCAGGTTCATTTGTGGATGGGCACTTTGTGGAAGGGCCTGATGAAGCTGAAGACGAAACTGTTGAACTCACTGGGACCTTTGCCTGCCCTCAGCCAGAGGATATAGATTTAGATGACAAGCATCTGTCTGAATTTACTCACTTCTATGAAGTTGATATTTATCAATCCATATTGGATACTAGTGCCTCAATACAAGAGAGTCGAATCCTCAGCATGATTCGACAAAAAAGCAAAGAGCAAAAAGAAGTGGAGGCAGAATGCTGTTTAGTTCTAGATGATCTTGAGCAGCAAGGGGAAAGTGCAATACTGGCAGATTCGCAGCAAGCTTCAGGACCCGTTGGATTCTCAATGGAGGATCTCGAAAACGTGGCTCAAGTGTGGGGATGTTGTTCGCCATCTACTTCAGAAGATATAGATGGAGAAAGCTTCATAGGAGACTCGCCCATTCGCCTCTCCCCCCTCCTTGATAGTGTTTCGTTCACCCTGAGCAAACTATCTGGAAACATGGAGGAGCTACCTGTTCCTAAAGCTGCCAGTGAACCGTCTGGTTTGAACTCATCCTGCTTCTCACTTTTTGAGTTGCAGTATGACAGTCCCACATTTCCTTTCCCCCACGACTCTCTCGCTCTTTGTCAAGAAAACAACACTGATTCTAGTAGCTGTCTCGACCCACATTCGAATAAACAGTCTCGTTTGTTAATATGGACCAAAAATAGTGCCTTTGACGAAACTGAACACTGTTCTAACCTTTCTACGCGAACGTGCAGTCCGTGGTCACATTCAGAGGAGACTCGTTCAGACAATGAACAAGGAAATGCTGCAACAGAGGATTCTGCTCCAATCGGCAACAAAGAGATTGATTGTATCATCCCTTCTCTCTCTGGTGCTTACTTGGAGGACGAGATCTTGGAGTTTTTACAGGAAGAAACTGACCACAAGTGCGAGGAGGTCAGTCTTAGCACAGCATCTCAACAGACCTTCACCAAAAAATCTAAATTGGAATCCATTTGTGGCATTGCTTTGGAGGAGGATGAGAGTAAACAGTACAGTACTGGCATGTTTTCAGATAACGCACATCAACAGAGTGATGATTACAGCTCAGGGATCATAAAGGACATTTGGACTACAATTGGAGATGGTAAATCTGCAACATCCAGACAAGGAGGTGAAAAACTGAGCGAGGGTTTATTCTCAGACAAGTCTGGTTACTGCTGCAGCTGTCTGAAGGTTCAGGCGAAAGAGGTTCCACATCAGGGGCCTCAAAAGAAAGCAGTGCAGCGCTCAGAGTATCACCTTTGGGAAAACAAGAAAGAGGAACGGGATATAGCTAAAAACAAACTGTCTAAGGTAGATAGTGCCGGGGATTACATGACTCCGTCCAAGCCCTGGAACCTGAGCTCTGACAAGGAAAGTACATCCTTTATTCTTGGTGGAGTGTATGGAGAGCTAAAGACACTGAGTGGTGATAAAAATTGGGCTGTTATTCCACCAAGTGACACCCAAGACAGTCTGCTTCAGTGTGCTGCCGCAGCAGCATCTGCTTCCAACTCAGACATGCTCACCATCACAGGCACAGATGTTTTCATGAACACAAGCAGCTGCTTTGCTCCTGGGCACCGGCCCCTGTGGAGGCCCCTTGTGTCCTTCGGGCAGAGTGACCAGGCCATTAAAGGAGGTGGAGATGGGCTGAATAAGGGATTTTCATTCATCTTCCATGAAGATTTGCTTGGAACATGTGGAGGCTTGCATGGTGAAGAGCAAGGATTAGAATACCCGTTTGCATCCTTCAACTTTAACAATCCCTTCTCTCAAGTCCTCCACGTAGAGTGTTCCTTCGAGCCCGATGACATGGCTTCTTTCAGTCCTGGGTTCAAGCCCAAGTCTATCCTGTGCTCCGACACTGAGAATGAAGCTTTCCATCCGCGAATATATGGCATCAACCGGACTCAGTATCGGGCAATTCGCATTTCCCCTAGGACTCATTTCAGACCCATTTCCGCCTCCGAGTTGTCACCAGCTGGAGTAAGTGATTCAGAGGGTGAGACTGACAAGGAAGAGATGAGTTTTCCCGTCCCGCCACCAGTGGATGTCTTTGACGATCCTCAGGCTGACCTCAAACCTCTGGAGGAAGATGCAGAATGCGAGGGCCCTTATTACGGGAAGTCAGAACTTGAATCTGGTAAATTTCTACCCAGATTAAAGAAGTCTGGCATGGAGAAGAGTGCACAGACTTCTCTAGATTCACAGGAGGGCTCCTCTGCCCTTCTGCCAATCGCAGAGCAAGAAATATGCCTAGACTGCAAAACAGCAGAGGCTGCAATTGCAGGTGGACAGATGGACGTCTCAGTCAGCAAGATCCAAAAAGTGGAATCTTCAGGAGAGAAGCAGTCCTGCCTATGTGCACCAGCAAGTCAAATCCCCAAGTATGGGATTGCTTTTGACTTTGTTGGAGATGTGCCAGAGGTGAGTTTTTAAAATGATTATGAATGTCAAAAGGCAATTGAACAAACATGGTTCTCTGGGTTCAGCGATTCACTAACACTGTTTTATATAAAAATATATTTTTTAGCTCCCTCTCTTAAACATAAGTGGACAAGGAGGTTACAAAACATATAACATTCAATATATATATTTATATATATATATATATATTCTTTTGTTTACAATGTATTGTTTCTCAATGTCTTTACCATTGTGGTAGGCATGTCAATTTTATTGTTGATCATTATGTGAGTGCATCACAAAACAGACAGTAAATCACATGGCTAAGACTTACAATACAAGATGGCTATGCAAAAACTGCCCAGCTGCTAAATGACACAGTGCATTATCTTTGCTAATTCAAATCCTCCTATTCTCCAGCCACTTAAAAAGACATTAGAAATACTTACTATTCTCCCACAATTCCAAAATATAAGCTAAACTCAACAGTCAATAGTTTTAACATTCATTCAGTATATACAGCATTTATACTGTCATACTCACTAGCATAGCTGCCAAAACCTTCAACTCAACATTACCTTCAACTACGACAACCCAGAAAGCTGCAACAGCTACACACAGATCCCAGAATTGGACAGAGAATCCCCCCAGTGATGCCAAAAATATTGTCGAAGTTACACTTGCAGCTATTGACTAGGACTTTATCAGTTTTACAAAACTTTGCAAGCTACTATTAACATTTCCTTACTAAGTAATCTAACATATTTTCTTGACTTCTTTCCGTAGGGAGCAGCAACATTTGAATATCCCAAGTTTTAACAGAAGACACCAGTCTTCTGAGAGGAATACCTTCCTCCCTGTTTCTGACTGGATCTTGACCATCATCAAATTCAGGGTCATCTCAGAATGTTGGCTTCTGAGAAACCCCTTTAAACCTCCCGCCCCCCACATGTAACCCTGCTGGTTTTTATTTACTAACCTAAATCCATGTTTAATCAACAACCTGATCAACAAGAAAGTGTGTGAAAATAGGAAAAAAAAAATCCAAAAATATATGTGCTGTCTTTGAGTGATGAAAGTGATGTGTGGACATGGATTTGTTTCCAATTTGTTTCATTCTTAATTCTTCTGTACACTGTTCCTCATCTAGGTCCTCACGTGTAGTTGATAAGGATGATGTTTTGTTCTATCCTCATCAGTTCTGTTTCCAGCATTTTTGCTTTTGAACTAGGTTACTGTTAGTTGGTTGTGTCTGAATGGTTGTGCATGTGTTTGTCCAGCGAGCGTCACTCCTTTCTTTTGTAGTTGAACCTAAATGTGGAGTGCAACAGCGAATTATTGCATCCTCTACTTTCCATCGTGTGTTCAGAAAGACAAATCAAAGGATGCTGAGAGTTATGAGTTGTTTTTCAGAGTTTAACTGCTATAGTTTTGAAAGACTTTCTGAATGTTAAGTAGAGAATGTGTGCAGAGTTATAAATAGCCACCAACTCCCGGTGTAAAATCCTTTCATAAAAAAAGTCCAATTTTTTTTTTTGGAATTGTGATAGTTTTTCAAATGCTGATACAAAGCAGTATGGTTTCTGAGGCTAACAGGAGGGAAAACATTTTAAAAAAAGATTTAAAAATTCTGAAGGAGTTTTGGCAAAATACTAATTGTCTACTTGAAATGCAATGCTGTAGAGAATCTGGTAAGAAAACAAAGATAACGTGTTGTGAGGTAAAAACTACCAAGAAAAAAATAACTCCAACTACTTTTGCGTTTGAATTAACCTTTTTTTCTTTTTTCTTTTTTTGTAATTTGTTTGGCACAGACTATTGGTGCTATCAATATGTTCAAACACTTTTTTAAGCTCAAGTTCTGTTGTTATCAGTTGTTGGCAGATCCTGGCTTTGTTTGTAGTTCAAACCATCAAAAAAAAAGTTTAAAAAAAGAAAAATGAAAAAGCAATGCCTGGTCACAGCTCCTCGTTATTGTGGCTTGTTTTTTTTTTCAAGTAAAACTGTTTAGTGTATGTCCATATCCTATCAGTTTACTGTGGCCCACCAGGCAAAGCATGCCCGTCAGGGAGTGATGCTCTGCTGTTAATGATCCATTTAAAAAAAAAAAAAAAAAAAATGTGTTAAGAAAAAATTCAAACCAAAAACATAGATGACATATTTTCACCAATGTAAAATCTTTCTTTTTTTCATGTGAGGTGTGCTTTTTTTTTTGGGTTTGATATATATCTTCATAGTTTGTCTGAGTTTGTCTCACTGTGTGTCAGCATAGTAGACTGTGTGGAAGCACTCGTCAAGAGTGAGTGTACGAGAAGCGTGCAAGCTTGAGTGCAGAAATGCACAATAACTGAGGTCTAGCTTAGTTTATCAGGCTTAAGCAACATGCATCTGATTATTTCATGTTGATTTCAATACTTCGAGGCAATGTAGACACGGAAATCTAAAATTTCAAATCTGATTTGTGTGACTTCCGTGCGTCCGATATATGCCCATTAACGTTAGTATCCATGCGACTTTTTGCCCAACTGTTTATGTACAATAGTGAAAAAATGTCAAGTAACTTCTGACCAACCTGCTATGAAAACAAATGATAAAACGTTTTAATGCGCCCCAACCCCCGGTGCCAGTCCGTAGGTTATTTGGTACCAGGCTGCAGTGGGACACTAAAACAACACTGGCAACTGAAAAAAGTTAAAGATAATCTGACAATGTTTCAAAACAATGGGTAATTTAGACCATGATACCAACAGAAATTTGTCTAAAATATGTTTTATTTCAAAAATTAAATGATCTTTCAATAAATACCCAGTATTACCGGTCTGCAGTAATGCCTGATGCCAGTCGGCCGGTCTTTGATACAAAAAAGGTTGGAGACCACAGGTGTAGAGAGTATCATAATGGCTTTTGAAGGAATAATGACTTTCTCAGTTCAGATGCAGGATTGTTATGGATACAATCTTTTTGAGGCTAGGAATCTGAAGAGAGCCTAATGTGACCCTAAAATTGAAGCTCTATTTGACCTGCTGTTTTTTTTCTGGTATTTAGGATGTATATTTTGGCCCCAATTCAATGTGTTTTGATAGCATTAAGAGTATGTTTTCCTGTGTTAGCTGGCCATATTATAAAACTAAAGCACAGCTAACTGTAATCATCCATTAAATTCCACGGGCAGCATGAGCGGACTCGTAAATGCACTGTCGCAGGTGAAGGTGTCTGGCCCAGGCTTGGCTTCGGAAATGGCTTCATGTTGTAAAATTGCAAATACTGCAAACCCCCATGTTCCCAGACTTATTGGGCAAATGTCTCGCCCCTGCAGCTTGGACGAAAGGTACTCATCAGGGTAAAGCCCCCTACCTTTGAACATCACCAGACACTCAGGAATTTTTATAAGCGCAACTGTATATTCTGTACTCAGACCTGTGACAGTGCATTGATGCATTAAACATAGAACCTTTCGTTTACTTTTAGAGAAATTACTGGCAGTTGTTTCACAGCAAGTGGAGACGACTGCCATTAATGTAGGGGTTTGGAGGGGTACAAAACTAAGAACTAAGCCATTGTTGGTTGCATAAGCAATGTAAAGTGGTTGAAAAGCCCTGAGTTCTATGCAATAACTGGGCGCATGAAAACATTCAACAGCATAGTAGAAAAAAAGTCATTCAAATCATTTTGTGCATGTTGATGACTTTTGAGCGAGAGATGGGGAAAAAAAGTGAAAACATATGTGGAATGTCTCTAGAAATGCAGCATGCCAACATCACACTCCCATCTTTTTTTTGTTGGGTTGATGAAAATATTTTATTTAAGAAAAAAAAAAACAGTGAGTTTGTATTAGTGTTTGAGAGAATGTTATGCGAGTGTGTGTGACTAGATCTTGTAGATGAATGTTTGCAGTAAGATAAAGCACTTACCTGGGGGTCGAAAGGAAAGCATCACAGCCTTTATTGAAATCTCTCATTTTCATAGGCCATGTTTGATTTAAAAAACGTTATGGTGAAAGAAAATTTGCAGTTGAGGTAGCTGCAATTGGAACGACACTGACAGGAGTGCAGCTGCGTTTCAAATGCACACTGGTTCAAAGATCATCCTGGGTTAAAAACTTTTTTTTTTTCCTCATCTGTTCATTCCCACCCTAGAGATGCTCCTCCACCCTCAGTTCCTCTTCCTCTGTCTTCAAAGCCCATCAGTTCAGAGAGGCCGTGTTGTTCTGAGTTCATGTACACCCTGAATAAATTATTTTTGTTTCATTGTGGATTTTCTTAACATCTAATAAAGACGTAAACCAAACCACAGTCTGTCTTACACCGTGTCTGTTTTTGCATCCCAATGCAGTTGGTGGAAAGGGCGGAAATTTGAGCAGTTTCGACTATAATCTCTAGAGCCTCTTGGTGGCACTAGAGATCAATGTGAACGTCATGTTCAGGCAGCTCTGTCAGTGCTTTTATTTGTGAACTGGATAATTACATTCCATATTATACGTCACCACCAATGGTGTAAAGTAAAACGTGTTAAATATCAGATATCCTCCCTCCATTTTATTATAGCACTTGCGCAGTCGGGCAAAAAGAAACAGCCAACGAACGTTCTGAGTGAAGGACTGATGGTCGCAAAGCAAATGCACACAGGACAAATACATTTCTAAATGTTTTTCAAGGGTCAAAGAGGCCCACAAAAATATACCAAGGCTTAAAAGGGGTCTCTTTCGACCATCATAAGAAAAAGGTTAATATAAATTGAGTTTTTTTGGGCCGGATATTTAGTCCCCTCAAAAACAAATCACAGTAAAAATTGAAAAGTACAAACAGTTGCCTCCAGCCACTTTTAGGTCTAGCTAAAACACTTAAAATAGGTTTTTATAAATGTAATAAAATTGTAACTTATGTCTCTGTTTTTTATTTTCCTATTCATGTGTTTTTGTACAGTCGATTAATTATGCCTTTATGTCCAGACAGGTGAATCCATCGACTGAGAGCATTCTTGGCTCGATTACACCGCACTCTCTTAATACAAGTTTGTTTTAAAATGGCGGCGGAAGCTTCGAGACAGGTATGAGATACTAACAATAAATGGACAAACCCAGCGAACTGCTCGTTTATATGGTTAGTTTAATGACAAATGAGCGTTTGCTGCCTTTAGACAAAGAGCCGGAGGTCTTAACCAAGTTTTCCACATTATTCGACCGAACACGGGAATCATTTTTGAGGAAGTGCTGAGAAAACATCAGCAAGTTCGCGTCAGCAGCGGCAAGTGCGTCTGGCGGACGAGTCCGGCTGGTGTCGACTGACTGCTTGTCTTTCCTCCACTGCATTTTGACCTGACCAATGACACCACGCTGGTGCTGGTAGTGTTCACCGAGGGGGAGGAAGGAGATGGTGACCATAGTGGTGCAGCAGTGATCACAACATCATCATGGACCGCTTAAACCGGCGTATACCTGCCGGCCACCTGTAGCATCTTCCAGCACTATGGCGAACATGAGCCCCGGTTCGGAGGACCAGAGAGACAGCCGCTGTGGTAGGTCACTGTGAAGCCTTATACACATCCACCTGTCATTGATAATACCACAAATGTTGTCAAATCTAGAACTAAAGTAAAGCAAAGTCCACCGCATCCAAAGCTAAACCCCTATTCTGCAGCCTTTGTTAAAGGTTCAATTTAATTCTGCAAGCTTCAATATTCTGCAGCCTTTGTTAAAGGTTCAATACCATTGTTTAATTCTGCAGGCTTCAACTTAACACAGCGCCACTTGCTGAGGTAGCTAATGATGTTAAGCCTCACACATAAAATATATATATATATATATAAATTATGTAATAATACCACCATGCAATGTACTTCAAGGTTTTAATACCCTATTTTAGTTAGGTCATTAGCCAAACTAACAGACTCCCGGCTGGGGGCCACTTCTGGCCCACAAACCCATCTCATGTGGGCTGTGACTTGATGTCAAATCATAATTTTTCCTTTGAGATATATTTTTTAAAAATATATTTTCATAACAAATTTTTGGTCCTTTAAGAATGGACAAAAATATGTATACCAATTGCTTGCATTATAATATAAATAAGTATTTATGTTTAAGCAAAACATGTTTTTGAAATGAGGAGTTTGCGACATACCCTGGGTTTATATGTAAACTTTGAAGTCAATCAGTAAACCAACCAAGGGTTTTTTTAAAAATATAAACCGCAGCACATTCAGTTCAGTTCAGTTTAGAACTTAACCCATGGACAAAGCAGTGACTTGCAATATTTTATACATATATGTGCAAATATTTTAATTATGTTTACTCTGTAAATGAACTATATTGACATTTGACGTTTGGCTTAAAAAATACTTCTCATCCTGGTTAGGATATTGGCTAAGAGTTTGCTTGTTTTGCCACTTGTTATTGAAAGGGGTCAAGCAAGTGAGAGTTGAACATTGTTGACAGTAAAAGCAACTTTGTGTTGTTCATGACTGTTAACATCAACATCATGTGTGTTTGAGTTGTTTTGCCTCTCACACATACACGCACACCCACTCACACACACACACACATGCTCCACTGCTTCATTCCTTGGAGATTAAGGTCTCAAGGAATGTTGAGTCTTTCTTTTTTTTTAAAAATACATCAAATGTCAGTTGTTTTTCATATAATATGATATAAGTCATTGGTTTACAGATTTCCTAATGTTAAATAAATTCTAGTTGAGTGGTAATGTTGCAGCAGGTACCTGCTATGTTTTGCTACAAAGTCTGCCAGGGTCACATGACCATTTGAAGGTCATAGTACATAGTAGTATGCTAATCTTGAGTACTAAATATATTATTATTATTATTGTTATTATTATTGTTGTTGTAGCTGCCCCCCTGCTTTTTAAGTTACTAAGAATTCTAGATAAATCTATCTGTAATTATTTTAACTTTGGAATTTAACTTTTAAGTTTGGAATCTAAGCCCCAATTTCTTTGTAATGGCCATGGCCCTTTTTTTTTAAACAAACACTCTGATTCCAAACTCCTTCAAAATTAAGCATCTTTTTAAAGTGCGATCAAACAGTTTGTCAGTTTGTAACCTGAAGGTTTTAAAGTGGAAATGTAGGAATGTATCGACCTTTCAAGTCTCAGGAGTTAATTTGATGGAAAGGATAGAGAGCCTATGGACAAAGCAGTTAAAGCTAAGCCCCCCACCTGCTGTTAAAGTGTTAATGTTGCTTGCTTAAATTCTCTTATTACAAAACAGACTCCGGTTACAGACTGGTTGCTGCCACCTTAGTTTTCAACTCAGGACTCCTACATACCTGTATCTAATCTTGTTGAGAAAAAAATAATTTTTGAATGAGTACGGTTGATGCAGCATATAGACCTTTTAGGGTCTGTCACTAGATATTAAAACTATATAAATAGACACAAAAAAAAGTTTCCATAAAACCCACCAAAAAAGAGTTGTCAAAATTAGCAGTTCAGCAAGCAGTTGAAGGAGTTGCTTGTTCGATTGACAACAATAAATAAAATTAGAAAAAAAGAGCTTTTAATTACACAACATATCTTGCCAGCTGTCTTTAATGTGCTGTTACTACTGCATAATGTCAAACCAGAAAACCAGTGCAATCCAACCAACCTCTTAAATCTGTCACCTTATTTAAATTTGTGTTGTCTTGCATATTATTCTTGATATTTTTCTTAATTTCCACTTCCTTTCCTGTCGCTTCAGAGCCGTCTCTGGAACAGTGCCTTCACATTGCAGATCTTGAGTTTGCCTTTTTGTTTCTTACATTCTTAAATACTATCTGTAAAGATAGAAACAATGTAACAGGAAGTAAAAACAAATAAAAAGACAGAAGGCAAGAAAGTGATCAATTGGACAAACTGTTGGATTCCAAAGGTGAATAAAACTGTAGTAGTAGAAAAGTATTGGGATGGATTCCAAAGGTGAATAAAACTGTAGACAAAAGGAAAGTATTGGGTTAGATGCAAGTCTGAATATGACAACCAGCCACCAGCCACTTCTGTCAAACCTGAAGTCAAATAATATTTTATTGACACTATTTACTGCAGAAGGGGGTGATGGTGCAAAATTGCAATGCTAAATAAAACACATTTTTAGCAGAGTGTAAGTTCTGAAACTGGCAAAAGGGCGATGTGCATCAAGAACCTTGCAGGTTCTGTTTTTAAGGGCAACTTGACTGCCCTTTGTTGCTTCACAGTAGGAACGTCAGTGGCATGCATCCTAGTGTGACTAAGAACCTCTTGCTTGCACGATTTTCTGTGCTTTTTTTCCCCCACAGTCCATTTTCTTCTGCACATTTCAAACACAAAAAAGCTAAATTGTTTTAAACAGTATAAGCCATAAGCATTACTGTAAGTGGCAATGTTTGTATATCTCTGTCCTATCCTATCACTGTAATGGACCATTACAGTGATTTGTCCTTTGTCAGCTGAAATTGGCTACAGCAAGTTAGGTCTGATTAGTGATGCTTGGCTGCAATATTTTTTAGTTCTGTACGTTTAGTGAGGATTAAAATGTGATTATTTTCTTTAATCAATCTAGTTTGGACTGTTGTACCAATTACACTTTTGCACATGCATTTATAAATTTGTTTTACCATTGTAACATCTGGGAAGTGTAATGCACACTACATATATATATATATTTATATATATATATATAATATATATATATATATATATATATATATATATAGATATAGATATAGATATATATATAGTGTATATACACATACACAATAATTCCACCGTCCATCCACTTATTGTTTCTTCACTACACAATCAGTGCACATTATTATTTGGGAAAAAGTTTTCATTTTGAACCACCTTTAGCTTAGAGTACTATCACAGCTTTCAGCATGCATTTGTGGGAAGGTGGGGGTCAGTTCAGATCCCTGGCCTTGTGTCAGACCTGCCTCACCAAGCACAGGACAGTAAGTAAGTCGATGCTGACTGACACAGTTGCTAAAGTCATCACCAAAACTTTGAAAGCAAAAATTTAGGAATGTTTTTTTTTTTTGCTCATGATTAATTAAGATCACAATTTCATGTGATTAACACATAGCTACCCTGAGCTTAACCAGATTCAGATCAGAATTTCAATCATTTGACAGCCCTAAAAAGCCCTAGAGTGTAATGGAAGTGTCAGTGACTAACTCAGTCACATTCTTTGTTTTTTAAGGTGTGTCTGGAGGAGTTACAGTTTTGAATGGCTCTGCAGTCAAAGACCTGACTGAGTCTGACAACCACAGCAATCACATCTGCCATGATGCCACCACATCCCCACGTGGCGAGCCCATCCTGTCCAGTTACAAGCCATCCTGCTCTTCTACCCCAACCAACTACAGCAGCCCCCACAAAAGCTGCTCAGACCTGGACCAGGACAGTCACAGTCTCACATCCCAGGACTCGGGCATCCCCACTTTGGAGATCAACCCTCCAGAACCCATCCTCCATGGTCACCAGCAACCATGCCATGGAGGGATGCACATCCTGCACGCCAGTGATGGTCCTCCTGCTACTCTATCTTTGGACGACAATCTCTCAAGCGAGACCATCATCTGCAAGTCATCCACCTTCCCCCGCAGCAGCTATGACTCAATTCGCCTCTTTAGCCCTGGCCTCAGAATGCCCACCACCACAGGGCTGGGCATAGGAGCTCTAAACCGCAGTGACGACATCTCTGTGTGCAGCGTGTCCAGCATGAGCACCGAGTTCTCCGTCTCCAATGAAGACATCTTGGATTTCACCGTCACTTCCGACTCCAGCGCCATTGTAACCTTGGAGACGGATGAAAGCGGCAGCGCTGCCTTTTCAGACGTGACTCTGTCATCATCTCCTGTATTGTCGTACATGGGTTCAGGTATCACGCAAGAAGAACACGTCACGCAGAAGAAACCCAGTCCCTTATTAAGCCTATTCAACAGGTATGTTTGGATTCTCCCTTGACTTTTTTTCCCAGAGTTAATCAAAACGATTGTGTACTTTGCCATTGCGCCATTATTATGTTTTCCTCAAGATTATTCAATCAAATGTGACACACACAGTGACAGTGTGCCTACATTTAGCTGCAAGTGACTACTATAGGTTTCAGGTAAATTTGATGACCATATAATACAGCTTCAAAAGCAGCAAGATCTGTGTACCCTCCATTTATTTGTATCGGACATAAGACAGTACTACAGCCACTCTTAGACGTTGTGATGTATTTTGACCTTTTCTTTACTTTTTTGCTTCATGGCAATGACCAATCAGAACTAGTTATTGTCATGATGTAGTTAGTTTTTGGGTGGTGGTGATGTCAACTTGTACTGGATTGACTGGTAATAATCAGTTCTCTCAAAGTTTGCATAACTTTCTCTTAGGGATGTCCGATAATATTGGGCAACCAACATTATTGGCCAATTTTAGCACAGTAAAGTAATAGCGGTAGGAATTGTGATCTGTTTTTCCTCAGATAATAAAAACCTGATCACGCAATGCCTGAGTTTCACTCAGATGATGGTGGTGCCTAGAATCCAAATCGCTTGTTAACAGCTGATCTGATAGAGGCTTTTCACTTTTTGTCCTTGTTTATTGTGTGTTTATGTATAAACTACTTGCAGGCCACTTGTCAGTGGAAAGTTGGTCAATCGTTGTTGTGACAAAATGCTTTACAGCCAAAGATCTAAGGCTCAATCCTATGTTTTCGAATTAGTGTTGAGGTTGCGTGGTGGAGCCAATCCTCTGATGACTGCTGGGATAGGTCTGGTTTTACCCCATGTGATATTGTGCAGGTCACATGACATGTTTGTGCATGCCAGAAAAAAATTGAATTGTGCAGGTCACATGACATGTTTGTGTATGCCAGAAAAAAATTGAAATGAATTATTTATTTATTTTTCCTTCTCAGTTGTTAGACAATGACTCACAAATAGTTGATCTAAGCATGGACAGCAATACTGTGATTACTTTGACCATCATGTTTAATTAAAATGATTAGTTACAGCTTAACTATTGATGGCAAAGGCAAACATGGTTGTTCTAACAAACATGCATGGGCACGAGTCAATATCAGCAAGACAGCCTGTCAGAGTGTAATCAGTAATGTAATTACCTGTGCCTTAATTTCCTGTCATTGCAGTTTTTGTTGCAACAGAAGTTAGGCATTACCCAAGCTGTTTGACCAAGACACTAAGCCAAGACCTTATGTCCTTTACTTCAACTCTTGCATGCTTCCCTAAGACTGTAACCCTGCCCTATGAAGTAAAATGGTTTACTACGTATATTTAATATATGTTAACACTCTGTACCATACAACAGAAACACAAAAATAACACCTGAAAACATTTTTCTACCTGACATTTTTTCGACCTTATTGCATGTAATATCAACTACAAAATACTGCACATAAGGTGGATTATGCTATAAGTGTTTTTCTCTGTCTTTGTCTGAATAATTGGCACACAACCAGCTTGTTAATCTTGATTAAATCGAGATAAAATAATTTCTCGCGAACCTTTTGTGTTTCCACACAAAGACATTTCTTCTGGTTTGAATTAACATAACCAGTGATAGTATAATGGTGATGAATTTGGCTTCGACTTGAGTGATGATGTGGTTCACGTGTTAAAATGTAAGAGCTTCGACTTGAGTGATGATGTGGTTCACATGTTAAAATGTTGAATTGTGAGCCAGAGGCACCAAATGATGGAAGGTGAACAGTGCAGCATTTCTTGAATGGTCAGTTTCTGCACAACTGCACTGATTGTCAGCCAGGTTGAATCTGCTATAGATTCAGAGAGTGTGTGACTACATAGTTAAGGCCAGATCCATAGGAGAGCTGTGTGTTGTGTGAGATCGCCTTGGCTTTTTTGCTGCGCAGTAAACCTTGGCCACCTTAATTTTCTTTTTTTATATATATATTTATTCAAGGTAAAAATCCTGGATGCTTGTTAGCTATGCCCTAGTCCCGAGAGGCGCAGTAAACCTTGGCCACCTTAATTTCTTTTTATATATATATATTTATTCAAGGTAAAAGTCCTGGATGCTTGTAAGCTATGCCCTAAAGGCACATGCAAATGACTGTGTACTAATAAGTAAGTACTATTTAATCCAAATTAGTTGTCTCCCCACTAAGTAATGACTTTTCAGGTGTCTGTTTAGTGCTTTGCGGTTTCCATTTAGAACAGTTTCTCTTTGATGATATTACTTGCATCCTGGCGTGAAGCATGTTGTGTGACTCCTCCTTCCCTCTCTGATCCAGTCAAGTCTCTGTCATCCCTCCTCCCTGCACACTTGTAAAAGTTATTCATTTCTCCGGGTTGCCTCCAGATTCCTGCTTCTCACACTCAGCTGGGAGGTGCAAGGATCAGCACGTTCCTCAGTCTCACTCTGCACACTGGCATATTCACACTCGCTGTTAACAAAACTGTGGAGCCTTAGCTCTTTGGAGTCTGAAGTGAGGCGCATGAACCAAATAAGGAGTTATTGTTTGTGTTTGTGTGAGTTTCTGGGAAGAGTAAATCATTTGTTCTTTTTTGTGTTGGATTACTGTGATTTTGTGGCGACAACCCAGGATGGCAACCCCATCACTTCTGCTGTACATTGACAGGTAGGATATCAGAAAAATAGGGGGGTTACTTTTTGGCTCAAAATTTAAAACAATTATAGCTTTGGTCAGTGGTGGTACACTGTGGTATTTCTGTTGCAGTCTGTTTCTCAGGGCTGTTGGAGCCGCTGCAGTTCAGTCACATTTTTTATGAGGAGGAAGGTCTTGTGCTGTGCTTTCTTTCTTCTTGTCCTAGCGTGTTGGGGATTTCTGTGTTCTTTTTTTCAGTGTCAAGTGAAGCATTGGAACACCCGGGACACCCATCACGTAAACTGCAGCATATCAGAGTCTATAAGGGTGTTTAGTCTAGAACACACTGTTTAATTCCAAACAATTCTTCAGAGACTCAACCACGAACCAATGCAGTGCAAAGACTTGGTTTGAGTCCGACCAACACACACCTCAGATATTGTTTTCGTCTAGTCACTTGGCACATGGAAGCTCCTGTTTGTATTGAATGCAAATCCTCCTACTAAACCTTTGTTTGACATCAAGCATACAAATGTATCCAGGAGAAATATATATTTATAGAGCTGCTTTATCAGCCCCTTGACTTGTTGTGTTGTTTAATGGCAGCCTCTGGGGTCACTAAAGTTTACTCCTGCTCATGCTGTACTTCAAAGGCTGGTAAAGGTTTACTTTTTCCACTCCTGGTTCAACCTGTTGCGTCATGGTCCAAGGTGTCAAGGAGTCAGTATTAAATTGTTCACTGTACCAGGTTACAAAAATGTATTTACATATATTTGTAGTCGATTGTATTAATTTGGGATTGGTGTTCATTTGGTTGTCAATAGTTTAAGTGTTAAATAACCACTGTGGCTAAGGGTCACAGTGAATGCCTGGTAATAAAGGGACTGATAAACATCAGGGAATATGAACTAGTGGACCTACAGTACATTCTTCCTGCAGTGGCCTTTCTCCAGATTAGGTTTCGGTCCCTCTTTAATCTCACGTGTGTGCTGTTGCTTTTGTTTCACAGTGAAGCTGGTGGGTAATGTGGTTAAAAAAGAAAAACCAAAAAACTCTGTGACTGGATTACCCAGCTGCTGAAGTTATCTGGACTGAGATGGATAAGCTCATATCTCATAAGATAAAGAAACAGCCCCAGGAGTTGAAGTTTCCTTTTTTTCTATCACTCAATAGAAGTTCTATCACTCAATGAAGAAGAACAACTTAATTTACTTCTTAGTATCATCAAGAATGCTGGCAAAAATCCAGAATGAAGCATTCCGCAGTGAGATAAGCTCAAGTAAGATTGCACTGTTAAGTTTATAATGTTGAAAACGAAATTATCAGTACAGTACAGTACGTGAACTCTCTCACTAAACCTTGAATCTTCAACATAGGACACCTGACGGTCAACTGTAGTGATCACTATTTTCATGTATATTATTTTTTTTAAACAAGTCTTCCTTGGTTTGTTTGCAGTAATAAATCATGATTTCTGCAAAGTTCATTAAGCAGAAGGACACTACTTCATTATTGGTGCCACGTCATTAAGCAGAAGGACACTACTTCATTGCCACTACTTCATTATTGGTGCCACGGCTTGAGAATTGGAACAGTAATTCCAATAATTGTCCACCTGTTACCATAACTGTACTCTAAATAAACATAGGTAAATGATGTCAATGATGGTCATCATTTTCCATGTCCATGTACAGTTGGATAACAGTTGGATGTAGCCTTTGTCACTGTTTTTCTGTTTGTGTGTTTGCATGTAAATATT